GGGAGAGGGAGAAGCAGGCTCCCCACTGAGCATGAAGCCCAATGCGGGACTCGATCCCCGGACCCTGGAATCGTGACCTGAGCCAAAGGCAGACACTTAACGACTGAGCCACTTAGGCACCCAAAACTTTTTACTTTTGATGGAAGTCCAAAATATCTAATTTTCTTTGGTTGCTTGTGCTTTTGGTGTCATATCTACAAATCCACTGCTAAAGCCAAGGTCATAAACACTTACCTCTATATTTTCTTTTATTTACCCTTATATTGTTTTAGCTCCTACATTTAGGTCTCTGATCCATTTTTGGTTATTTTGTATAGTGTGAGGTAGCTGTTCAACTTCCTTCTTTTGCATATCGAAATCCAGCTGTACCAACATCATTTGTTGAAGAGAATAAATGAGTGTTCTTTCCCCCATTAAATTGTCTTGGCTCCTTGTCAAGCAATTGAATGTAGATATATATATTTCTGGATTCCCGATTCTCTTCCACTGCTGCATATGCTTGGTCTTCTCTTGTCCTATATCATTAATTAGCTATTTGATTTGTATTTATTTGAAATACTAGAGGGACTCAGTTGTTATTATTATAATCTTTTGTTGCTAAGAAATGTTCACGGTAAACAGTTACAACACAGAAATGCCCAAAGTGAAAGTCCTGTCCCAGCTGCCCCTGGACCCCACTTGCAGGACATAACCATCGTGTTTCCTCTGTAGCTTTATAGATGTTCACTTCTGACCAGATATGTGTATTTGTGTATATGCATATATGTGAAAATTCAAATGCACGGCCACATTTGTGAATGTATACTTGCGCTTACTGACATATTTATATCTGTATGTCTGCATTTCTATAATTGCATATCTCTTTTTACAAAATTGGGCTATACAAAGGGTTCTATGACTTTAAACATCAGGAGGCTATCCCATACACCCTTCCATGTCAGTTGTACATGTTTTACCTCATTCTTTCTTAATGTCTCCATCATATTTCATAGACAGTATACACCATCATTTCTTCAACCAGTTCCTTATTTATGTTTTTCCTTTTTTCCCCTATTCCATTTCTGCTATGTACATGTGGGAGCACTTTTCTCGGCTGGGTACCTGGAAGTGAAGTTGCTGATCATGGCTTTTGTCTTAAAGTCATTTTTAACGGTTTCCCCTCAACTGTGCTTTATGATGCCTTGCACTTACTAGGTACTTAATAAATATTTACTGAAGTGAACTCCTAAGGGTTTTTACTCTGGATTTATCCCTAGCTTGCCATTTCATTTCAGTAAGCTGTTTTATGACACCCTCATGCCTATTTCACTTCCCCTGAAATGAATGAAAATGTTGGTTATCCAGTCTTCATTAGGGGGAACTGTGGTGGAATGAGTCAAGCAGTGTTGTGATGTCTACTCTGTGTGTGGTGCTGGGGTTATACAGAGAGGAGTGGAAGGTCACCCCAGCCTTTGAGGTGTTTGCAGATCTTTAGGATGAGGCAGATAGGACATATGGTACTTCCCTAAGAGCACACATGTGTTATGATGGGAGTGAAAAGGAAGGGGAGGATTGATGCTTGCTTTGGGTGCTGTCAGGGAAGGTCCCATGGACGAGGGACACTGAGATGCCCTCAAAGGAAGGGGAAGCTTTGGACTGGTGGAGATGTCCTGGGGCTGGACAGCTGCTGGTGGTTCTCGGCCAAGGAGCAGCGGAAAGGATGCAGAGGAGGTGAGAAAAGTGATTCCATGGAGTGCAGGGTGTGTGCGGGGAGCAGTAGGAAACTGCTGGAGAGCCAACAGGGGACCTGCTGTGGTCAGCCTGGAATCCAGACAGGTCTTTGGCACCAATCTGCTAGGCGTTGGGCCACCTTGAAAAGTTTTTGAATAGAATTATATTATTGAAGTTGGTCTGGAGGAAGTGGTTTGCTCAGTCATCCGGGGGCATGGATAAAGGGGCATCTTCATTTGTAGAGGTTTCTGTGATATAACTTTTTCCCTCTCCCTCTCTTCCCATCGCTCAATTCTTCCCTTAGCTGTCTGAAAATGTGGTTAACCGCATGAAGGATTCCAGCCAGTCTTGCCAAGCAGGCCAGCCTGCTTCCCCTCCTGCCCCTCCACCTTCGACATTTGGCACCTCTAAAGGCCCAGAGAAAGGTATGGTGGTTTGCAGGGATTCTGTGGAGGGCGGGAGTGGGGTGTGAAAGGAATGACAAACAGCCTTCCTGTCAGAACAGATTTGACAGCTAACGTGGCTCCTGTTTGTTTCTGGGTGATGTAAGCAACTCCTTTCTGATAACTGCTTTTCAGGAGAGTGTGGCTTTCATGCGTGACAGATGCTGTCTGCTCTCATGAAAGCAGCACATTTAGTCAGAGTGCCTGTGACTGGGGCTAGACTGGTTTCCCTCACTGTTTCAGTTTCTCCATATGTAACAAATGAGGCGAAAGGACTTGGTAACTCAGGGAAGAAGTTGGTGTTAAGGATCCCTAAGAGATGCATTGTCATTACTGTTCAGTATGGTTCAAAGAGTGATAGGGATTTATGTGAATTGGGCCAGCTTAAGGGAATTGAGTTGATGACTTGACTGTTGACCTCAGTACCTAGAACCAAGCACTCCCGTCAAGTGGTCCTGATCTGGCTCCTGGGACGGTTCGCCCTGGGCTTCTAGCAAGACCTGCCACCCCGTACCTTTCAGGGATTCCTCTTCCGGTGCCCACACCGGGCTCAGAGCTCATTTGTTCCCTCCTCTGTGGGGTCCATGACAAATTAAGAAATTTGTGCTTTTCTCCAAACAATGACTTTCAGCAAACACAAAGGAATGAAACAATTTAAAAAGGGATATAAGGTACAGAAATATTAAGATATTACAAATAAATTTGGACAGTCTTTGGGGCAGCTGCTACTCTATTCAATAAATACCTCTTTATGAGAATCTGGGTCTTATCTATCACCTGCAACTGTCTTTTCTGCCAATCTTCCTTATTAGGTTGTAAAACTGTAGAAGACAGCCCCTCCACTCAGTGTTTACTGACCACTGGCCAGGGATCAGGACAAGTAACTCGTGCTCGTGCACGGCGATGTGTAGACAGGGATGCCCGCCCTTGTGGCACACACGGCTCTAGTTAAGGAGCCAGATGTATAACCCTGTAGGTTACATGTTTCATGATGAGGCAACACTAGAAGCATGCCCATGGCTAGGGTAGCACAGAGGAGTGACTCGTTATTTTAGGGAGGAGCTTCAAGGGGAGATGATGTTTAAACTGGATTTTGAAAGATAGAGCAATGGTAGATGGGCATTCAGGCATGGTAAGCAGCGTAAGTATAGTCCCAGAGGTGTGGCGCAGCCTGGCCTGTGTGGGGCCCTGGAAGTGATTTGCTGTCTCTGGAGTACAAAGTACAAGGAAAGGGGAGCACTTGGGGCAGTGCTCAGGGGCCAGGTTACAGACCTCTGCACAGAGGCAAGAGAGCTCTGCCTGCATCCTTAACGGCTGGGGGCTCTAGCCAGGGCTGCTACCAGCTTGCCTTTCTGTATTGTCTGCCTCAGGGCTTCCCGAGCATTAGAGCAAATTGGTACCAGGTTTGGACCCATCCTGAGATCTTTTTGAATATCTCTCAGTGAGGGGGCAGATGAGATTCTTGAAACTCTCACAAGACGCTCTTGTCCTTTAAAAATGGGGTGGCTCCCCACGATATCTCTAGCAGCTGACAGGAGCGGTGGGGGGTGGGAGGTTGAAGAGGGCTCTAACTTAACCCAGTACACTTGAATAAACTGGATTAACTGGTGAGAGGGAGAAAGCGATGAAGTAAGCAAAGAAGGCCAAAATCTAACATGCACACGTCAGCTTCAGCTTCGGAAGATGAAAGAAGCACTGGTCTCAGTTTTGGTAAGTTTCAGCAGTTTAAGGAACAAGAATGGTGGTTCATTTGTCATTTGGTTTTAGTTATAACAAAGTATTTTGCTGTTTAAATGATTGTGAGTTTGAGTTTCTGAATGCTGAAGAATGGTCAGCATAAATGGGCTATCTTGAAGTTGACTAATTTTAAGATATTTTTACTTTTAAAATCAGTGTTTGCTTTCATTTTAGTGGTGGAACAAGATTAGAAAAAGAAGTTAAAATTAAATCCTTATGTCATACCATACCTCAAAATAAATGTCAGAGGAAAGAAAAGATTTAAATATACGAATTGAAGCTATAAGAGTACAGTGATAGTACATATAAGTACAATAAGTAGACCTTCTAAGCACTCCATCAGCTCCATCAAGAAACCCTAAATTAAGAAGAAAAGTGGGAAATGTAACTCTAAGGAATTAGGCAATTCAGAAAAAAATAAATGAAGAATGAATGATAAACTAGGGAAATGTAACATGACAGAGTATTAACAGTCCTAACATAGAGAGTTCTTAGAGCTCTTTGACAACTCAGTAGAAAATGTGTACAAATGGTTGTAAACATTTGATGAGATTCTCCATTTTGCTAATAGTGAAGGACACACATTAATGAGTGCTCCCGAGGGGCAGGGAAGTGGGCAGGCTCCTACACACAAGGTGGGAATGTGGATTAGTGCCACATTCTCTGCCACAGGTAGATACATTATTTTCCTAGTTATGAAAAAAAAAAGTTGTATGAAAAGCAAAAGTAAATATGGTAAATTATATCTCAATAAAGCTGTTATAAGTAAACAAATAAGAACAGAGGGCATTATGTCAGAGTAAAAACTGGGCAGTGGTTTACTGTTTTTTATTCCCATTTGAGAACGTGACATGCTACCCAGGAGCACTTAGGTGTGCCCACCTCATCAGGTGGGACCGCTGTGCCCATCCTTCTGTGAGAGGTAGTCTGAAAGCGTGAAACATAGGATGATTACTTTTGGAAGTGCCTCCCTGAAGGGTTGAGTGCTGGAGCCTCTGAGTACAACGTGCTTTAAAAGGTCTTGGCAGTGGAGGGGAGGTGGAGCAAGATGG